AGGGTGCGATGGATTGCATCAAAATGTTTGAAGGTGGGCTCACAGTCGTTCATTCGCGAGATCAACAGAACGAGAAGTTATCTCCTAAGCACTTCTGTACGATCGGAGGATTGAAAGTAGACAAGCCAGTGAGCTACCCGCTATTCAATCTCGGTGTTCGCAGAATCCACTTTCCATACTGTTCAACTTCGGCTTGAATGGCGCTGTCTCTGCTCTCGGCAACATCAATCCCGGATAATACAGGTCAAAAAAGATCTAAACCGCTGGCAAGCGGCGGGCTTCTCTAACGCTCAACCTGCAGAATGGAAAATCCTCCCCCTCCCGGACAAAACGTCTGTTTAGGGTACCCTGGATGGGTCGGTGCATTAACTCATAAGGTTTTCCTGCCTGCTTTGCTCTGGCTCTCCCAGCCATCTCCTTGCCTTTCCTCACCCAGTCCTCTTTGGTGGGCAGCTAACCCAAACCAAAGGTATGTGGGTTGTGCGGCACTTCGGCCGATATTGCAATGCCCTTCCGGCCACTTTTTCCTAGTCCCATCCCAGGGACGTGCTGGAGTTTGTTCGTGAGGTATACTGAATGAGCACTAACATACAACCCTTCATCAACAACTAAGATGTTCTGTACGACTCGGGCCTCGGCTAGGGTAAAACCCAATAGGAACACATCCTCCGGCAGATGGATTGACGAATTCCCAAAAACAATAGCCATCCCCTTCCCGTGAGGGTATTTCAACATCTGATGAAGGGTGGAAGAGATTACCTTCACCTGGTGCAGCCATGGCCGCCCTAGGAGTAAATTAAAGGTTGTGGGAACGTCCAAGACATGAAAGTCAATCTCGTGCTGTCCTGGACCAACCTGAGTTTGAATCTTCATGGTCCCCATCACCTCTCTGCTAGTGTTGTCATATGCCCGAATCAACTGGGTTGTTGGCACAAAGTCCACAGGCTTCAACCCGATTGCATATGTCGTCCTTGACGGGCACACGTTAATGGCAGATCCCGTGTCGACAAGAACCACCGGTATCCATTGTTTCTACACTCCACAGAGATGTAGAGCGGTTTGTTATGATTCGCGCCCTCAGGTGGCAGTTCTTTGTCGGAAAAGGCCAACATCGGAGAAGCCCCTCCCGAAAAAACCAATCCCATCAGCTGTTCAGGTGTGGTGTCTATTGAGAGTTTGGCCTTGTCCATTGCTGATAGGACAGCTTGTCTATGAACACGTTAAACCATAAGCAGTCCCCAGATGGAGATGTCTGCTTGTATCTTTTCCAACTGCTTCAGTATGACCTCTTCTTCAAGTAGATTTTCTTTCTGCTTCTTTGACTCCTTGTCCTTCCCGGACGCCTCTGGTTGATCTAGGTGCGAGGGCTTGAAATACCGCCCACTCCTAGTCATATGGTCAACTTCACCGATATACCAGGTATCATCTGGTTGATTGCTCCCCCAGTCCTCATCAGTGTGGGTGAGACATAGGTCATCATCTTCCCACCACATTCCATCGGCAGCCGACAGACATCTATCCGGCTCTGTTACAACTGTCCTTGTACCCACAGCACCTTCCTTCCATGTGCTCACAGCACACTCTGTTCTTATGCACACAGCACGTTCAGTCCCCACAAGGGCTTTGGCCTTTCTGGCTCTCTCAGAATTTTCGATCCCTTCCCCTTCAAAATGTTCCAATGCAGCCTACTTTTCAACCTTTCATGTATTCAAGATGCCCAAATCTCGAGCGAAATTCTTGGCACCGGCGCTCTCCGGTGATACATGCTGATTTCTGGCCCTTCCGGCCACGACTGATGTCCTTGTCTCCTACAGGCCCTGTTCAGGCTGAGATTCTTCAACAACATCTGGTTGGTCATCAAGCCACCCTGTAACCTCTGCTGACCCATCAAAATCAAACCAGTTGACTGTCATGTCTGTTGGATCTTGTTCGTTGAAAAACTGAAGGTTAGCAATGTCCTCTTCCAAATCCACTAAGTCATCTAGCCTCTGATTAAGTCCACCTTCCCGTACTACACAAATCTCTGCCCCCGTTGGCAATTCCACATTCGGCCTAACCCGGCCTATTGGCGTAATTTAGCCACCCGGATTATATACCTCCTCAGCAAAGCTCCCAAATTCCTCAGACCCTGAATCACTAGTCCCACTTTCCTCCGAAGTCATCCCTGTTCTATCTTCGATAGTCACCACCATTGGTTCAGGTTGG